TATATATATATAAACTCTTTATGATGAGCATCAAATCACGACTTTGTTTTATAGACAAAACAATTCGATCAAGAGTGCAAAAAATTTATTTGTCTTGAATTTGCTTTTAAAATAGAGATTTTATAATTTTATGATACGTGCAGACATTTTGCAAAGGAAATTTGTACACTTTTTAAAATAAGAGCAATTGGAGTTAAAATTTCATCTTTAAATGTCTTTATTCATTGTGATCGTGTCATTAACTTTCTAGAGAAGTGGCTACAAAAGAGTTTTAGAGGTCTCTGTATGCCACGATCCCATCATTGCTTTTTTGACTAACCCCAGTTGTGATCATTGTACCAAACCACATGGATAGAGGATTCAGACAATGTCCTTACTAGTGTGAGATTGCTTTGTGTGTAAATATAGTGATACATTTGAGGTGTTATTCACTCATTGTGAGCTAAAGTTAATCAATAATTTATCGACCATGGCTAACAAAAGGTTTTATTCTAGTCAATTGTATTCTTATGGTTCTTAACCCAAAAAATAGAAAGTCATTGTACTGGCACAATTATAACTATAATATAATTGTGTCATTTGATAGCAAACCACCTGGTTAGAGAGATCTGGTCGTAACTGCTACTTTGAGACCTTTACGTAGCAGTCACTCGGATTAGGATAAAAGGGTTATGTCATGATGCTTACCAGATAGTTTATCTTTTTGTTGGGATTTTTTGGTGATAGATTCTTGAATTGAAATCTAAGGAACTTGAGTGTTATGTTTGTATTATTTGACCCAACGACTCCACAAAGAGTAGTTATTACGACTAGAGCCTTATGTTCGAGTGGCTGATGCCAAATGACACTAATATGTAACGGCTATAGATGCAACCCATATCATCTCCAATCCTTAGGGGAAGGAGGATCGAACTTATTGGGTTAGACTTACAACCTTGCCTAATACACAAGGCAACTCGATAGAGAGCATGATAATTTAATAGTTTTGAATTTGATTTTGAAATAGAGATTTGATCTCGATGTTCACTAGTTAGTTTATCTTTCTTTTGGGATATTTCTGTGATAGATTTTTATTGTGAAATATAAAGATCATACCCCAATGCTCTCCAGACAGGGGACTGCATTGGGGTGCCACATGCTGAACTATATATAAAACATGTTGATCAACGTCATGAGACACTCGAATATAAAGTGATTTTTAAACTCACATGTCTATATGACGTGTTTGTGCCTTCGAATAACCTTTGCAAGAGAGAGGCAGAGATGACAACTTCAATTTGCAAAATGGAAATAAACACTCTCATCTCATCTCTTTATGTTTATCTCCCCTTCACCCCATAACTTCTTTCAACTTTTTTGTCTTCCAAAAGGAGTGGAGGCATAAGATTCCTTTTGCATCGAAGCCCTCTCTCGCACATAGTGACAATATCACAACGTTCAAATCTTTTCTCCCTCCTAGTGTCCTCTCAAATACAGTTGTGATTAGGGCTGGTGGGAAAAATAATGACGGGATCACGTTGTACAATTATGACAAATAAATTTTGGTCAATTATAGTAGTTTCATTTTATACATATTTCAAAAAACTGAATTTCACTGTCACAACATTATAATGAAAATGATATGATTTATGCTTTAATATATATATCTACATATATATATATATATATATATA